AAGGCAGATGGGCATTGTGCAAGGTTTATTGACTAAAATCTCAGTTCTGAAAGGACAAGGTTGAGCTGAGATGCAATGAGTGGGTCTAGTTAGCAATAAATTGATGTTCGCATGATCCTAACTTTCGTGAGGTTTACTCTAATTTTGCCCTCTGATGATGGATGGCTGATCCCACTCTTCGAGTACCCTGGAGCTGTATCTTTGGTGATGAAACTGTGTTCTCTAAATCATCACTCATGTAGTCTGTTTTCAATGGGATCATCTGTGATCCGGGTATGATGATGCTGTTGCAATCCCAGCACCTGAATGGCATTGACAAGAAGAGCGGAGTAAGTTAAAGGCCAGCCTGGTCTATGTAGTTCCAGTCCAGTGGTTCTCAGCTGTTCTAATGCTGTGACCCTTTAATGCAGTTCCTCATGCTGTGCTGACTGCAACAATAAAATTCTTTTTGTTGCTACTTCCTAGCTGTAATTTTGCTGCTGTCATGAGTGGTGATATAAAGATTTTTGGAACTAGAGGTTTGCCGCAGGTTGAGAACCACTGTTCTAGACCACCCAGGGCTGGAATGTGTTTACCCTGGAGGTAACTCACACAGTCTTTGTCTTTGTTCTCCTACTCCATTAGGCCTATGGATGCATTCATTACAGTGCTAGCTGCTGTCCCCATTGGCTGGTCTCTCTCCATCTACCGCTGTTTCCACTGTCCACCTAGATCTACATTGTTTCTGTTATGTAACAGTAAGGGCGGGTGTCTATTCTCTGAGAACCATGAGGTACCCCCAGTATGAAGTACTCCCCGGTGTGAAGTACATGATGGTTCATCTCAGAGTCTCACCTTTAATATTCCATACGGCTTCACTTCCTGTTCCTAATAAACCCACACAGTTTTCAACCTTTAGAAATCAGAAAGGGCCTGTGTGGTGACACACACACTCAGGAAACAGAGGCACGGAGTGTCTGAGAGTTCAAGGTCAGAATGTTCTACTTGGCCAGTTCCAAGCCAGTCAAGCCAACATAATGAGACCATCTCAAAAATAAGAACCCTTTTAAGTTCTGGTTATATAATAAAGAGAAAATGTGAAGAAAAGAAGAGATGACTCAGTGGTAAAAGGGAACGTGTTGCTCCTGCAGATGTCCTGGATGCTGTGAGCTCAACGTGCAGGCAAAAATACATAAAATAAATCTAGTAAAGTAAATCAGATACAGGGGAAAGGTACTTTTAGCAACATGTAGTATCACAGTCTCTCAGAAAAAGGTAAGCGTACAAGTAGTAATGCAAACCCCTGACAATGTGAGACAGTCTTGGACTTTCATTGTATCACATTCGCCAGGCTACATGGAACTGACGCGCTTTGACGGTGATTTTCTTGTCACTGGAGTGTGGGTGACACTTTCTGAAAGCACAGAAACCACCAGATGAGCCATAATAAGTACTGGCAGGATTGACCTCCCTAGTGTCGGTGCGCATGCGCACCATCCGCGAAAGGTGGGGGAATGTGGTAATGGGCTGAAAGAACCATTATTCAAATCGGAAGTGGCCAAGAATCGTCACATCGGCTCAGATCTTTAGGTAGTTCGCTTCAGCTATCATTGCCAGGACAGCGTGGGTGTTTGGAGTCCGAACTCTTGATATCCTGGGTGGCTGCGGGCGGAAGTCGCGGCCCGGCGGGCCGTGTGCACAGCTCGCTCTGCGCTGCAGTGAGGTGAGTGGCTGCGGGGCAGGGCGGACGCTGTGCTGCCTGCCGAGCGCGGTTTGTGCCGAGGGACGGCTGCGGAGGCTGCGGGGGGATGCGTGGATAAGGTGGGGGTCGTTCGATCGGTTTCATTCCGTGCTTGCGGGTTTCCGCGTCTTCTGTGTTTTGTCACTTCCCAGTGTGCTCTCCTGTGGGAATTCACACGGTCATCCGTGAAAATTGTCATGTCAGGATGTTCGGGGCAGGACTCAGTGAGTGTGCGCTGCAGAAGCCGATCCTGGGTGGGAGCCGGGAGCTTCAGGATGAGGATCTTGATGCAGTGATTGCCTTAGGAGCCTGGCGAGAGGGCTGCTCAGGCAGCGATGGAACCCTGGGTCCCGTGTGCCCTGCTTTGAGGCAACCGCGCTGCCTTCTAGTCTGCTAGTGTTTGAGTAGTTGGTAACTGGAGCCCTGGCTCCTGGTCAAACACTGGCCTGCGAGAGGAGAAAAACTCCAAAGAATAGGTGAAAACGGGAAAATGAATTCTTTTACGTTTTGGTCCAAAGTGGGAACACAGTTTCCTCCATCTGTGTCTGCCTGAGCAGTGTTAACAATAGAGGGAGCTGCCTGAGAGCCAGGAGATCCGCGTAGGTATGTCTGATGTGGATTCAGTCACCTGAGCTGGGACAGAAGCCTTGGTGCTGGCCATGCTGGCCCTGGTGCTGGCCCTGGAGACAGGTGTTCAGGTCATTCCCTTTCCCCGTATTTTATTTCCTGTATAGAGGTGGAGTTTAAAACAAAAAAGGATTTTTTTAAAAAACTAATCCTAATTCAGTTCCTGTTGCCCATTTACATAACTCTTGGGATCCTTTGCAGATGTGAGGCCTGGTCGGAGGTTTGGCCTGTGTTTGGGACTGTGGATATGGTAAGAATAGGTGACTGACATGTTGTTCAGCAGATTGGTGCTGTAAAGAAGTTTGGGGGCAGAAACCTGGGTTTCTGCAGTAAGCCCAGTAATCTGTAAACCTATTGAAGAGACCAGTGAGGACGAAGAGCACAGAGGGGGCGCTGGAGGGATGGTTCAGCAGGGTTGCCTGCGTTCACAGGGTGGCTTTGGACTGCCTGGAACAGTTCCAGGGGCTGTGGTGCTCTCCTCCGGCCTCCAGGGCACTGCTTGATTTGATGCACAGATGCATGGACAGACAACACACACACACACACACACACACACACACACATAATTTTACATTTTTTGAATAAGAAGAATAAAGCTTTTAATTTTTTTTTCTCTAAGCCGCCCGTAAACTACTTTTACCAACTAATCCCCATGTGGTGGTTTAAAAGAAAATGGCCCCAAAGCAGTGTCACTATTAGGAGGTGTGGCTTCCTTGGAGTAGATATGGTCTTGAAGGAAGTGTGTCACTGTAGAAGTGGGCTTTGAGGTCTTTTTTTTCTTTATGCTCAAGCTTCCCTCAGTGTGACACTGAGACCACTTCCTGTTGCCTTCTGATCAAGATGTAGCCAGCACCGTGTCTGCCTGCACGCTACCATCCTCCCCACCATGATGATAACGGACTAAACCTCTGAACTGTAAGCTGCCACCTCCATTAAATGTTTTCCTTAATAAGAGTTGCCGTGGTCATGGTGTCTCCTTACAGCAATAGAAGCCCTAGCTAAGACACTGGCTTCTTTAAAAAAAAAAAAAAATTTAAGGAAAAAACAAAAAGCAGAAGATGAGATTCCATAACTTGGTTACATTCGGCAGAAAAGTAAAATGACCCCATGTCTGTCTCTAGTGTTCTGATTTGGAGTCTAGGTTTAGAAATGATAGCTGTGTATTACACAGTAGCCAAGCAGGGTGTGGTGGCACACTACTGTCCTATAATCTTCACGCTGTAGAGGCAGAGGTTAGGGGATCACTGCACACTGACAGCCAGGCTGGGGATGAAATAGGTTAGGAATTGGAACAGAGGAAAAGTCAGGGCCAAAGTGAAGAAGGAAAAACAGCTCTGTGTGTGTGTGTGTTTTGTTTTTAAGTCTTATGGATATGAGTGTTTGACTGCGTGTATATAGGTATGCCAAGTGTGGTCCTCTGGAATTAGGGTTACAGGGGGTTGTGAGCCGCACATAGGTGCTGAACCCAAGACATCTGCAAGAGTCGCCCTTAACCATTGAGCCCTGTTTCCTTTCCTTCCTTCCTTCCTTTTGCCGGGGTATCCTCTGTACCTCTGGCTAGCTGCGACTCAGTTTGCAGACTAGTCTGACCTCAGCTGTGGTTGTGCTGCCCCTGCCTCTGGAGTGCTGGGTTGTAGGTCTACAACTGAAGTTTGGTTTAAACCACACCTGTGCTGAAGGTCCTTCTTGGCTGATGAACTGGGAAGTTCTAGAGAGGTTGTAGAGAGGGTGTATATTACAGTATGCAGTCTGACTGTCTTTAGCTGTCTTTTGTCCGCTCAACAGTTAGTCAATGTCCACCCATGGATTTTGCCTAACCAGCCCACTGGTTTTCAACAACTGAAAAACTAAGAATGTCATTGGAGAACGTGTGAGGCCTGGTATAGAGATTTCCCTACCTTATTATAACCTGCCTCTCTGATGGTCCCACCATTTTTTTGTTATTGTTTTGGTGTGTATGTTATGCACATGTTTATTTGACTGTGGTTACATGTATGTGTACACATGAGCATGGAAGCCAGAGGATAATGTCCAGTCTTTTCCTCAAGCCCTCTCTATCTTACTTTTTGAGACAGGGTCTCTGTTATCTGTGTGCATGCGTGTGTGTGTGTGTGTGTGTGTGTGTGTGTTGTGTGGGCACAATGTAGGACCATGTACATGTATAGGTCAGAGGACAACTATCAGAAATTAGTTCTTTCTTTCTACCAGGTGTGCCCTGGTAGAAAACTATCACACTCATGTTGTCAGGCTTGTTGGCAAGCACCTTTACCCTCTAAGGTTCTCAACCTTCCTGATGCTGCGACCCTTTAATACACATGTTGTGGTGACCCCCAACCATAAAATTATTTCACTGCCGCTTCATAACTCTAGTTTTGCTACTGTTATGAATCATGATGTTAAGTATATGATATGTGAACCCCAAAGGGGTTGCGATCCACATATTGAGCACCATTGTCCCAAGGTATCTTTTGGCTCACACCAATGTACTTTAGAAGTGCTTTGGTTTATAGCTTCATTCTGTTCTCTTACTACAAAAATTCCATGGAACATGGTGTTTGGACAACCTGAATCTGCACTGCCAGGCCATGGGAACACTTGGCTCTAGAATAAATTGTTTCTCCACCCTTTAGAGTGTGAGTTGATCCTGTGTGTGTGTCCCTGTGTAACCAGCCACCAGGGGTGGATGACAGAGTGGCTTCTACTAGCTTATTTCAGTGTTGCTTCCAAGCTAGGCTCGGTGGAGCACACATGCTTCCCTGCACTGGGGGATTAGGCAGGATGATCTGGATATCAAAAGTAACCTCTGTTATATAGCAAGTTCAAGACCAGCCAGGTCTTCATGAGATCCTACCTCAAAAAGAAAGAAAACAACATCAATGTTGCTTCCATGCTGGGGTCTGTTATTTGAACCCCTGTGTTAGGAGTTATTTGTGGTTATGTGGAAACAAAGAAATAACACTCTGGCCGGGCAGTGGTGGCGCACGCCTTTAATCCCAGCACTCGGGAGGCAGAGACAGGCAGATTTCTGTGAGTTCGAGGCCATCCTGGTCCACAAGAGCTAGTTCCAGGACAGGCTCCAAAGCTACGGAGAAACCATATCTCGGAAAACCAAAAGAAAAAAGAAATAACACTCTGAGGGGAAATTATTGGCTATCAAGGTAGCCATAATTTCAGTGTCGTGGGGCATGTCGGTGGCTGGGAAGCAGTCCTGTGACCAGTCTTTGGAGGTCACTGAAAGGCACTGGTCTGAGTGGCTGCATCAGGAAAGACATGCATCGTCAGCCAGAGGCTGTTGGTACCCGTATGTGACAAGCCGATGGGGCACAGTCACCGACTTCACGGCCAAGGCCGTCCTGGAGCGGACAGTGAGCTCGCTGTCAGCCTGTGCTGCACATAGCACACTGACTCAAATAAAGTAAAATAAAATAAAATGGGGCAAAATTAAAAGAAGGAAAGGGTAGGCTTTCAAAATAGAGGCCCTGGTCCCTGTATGTGCCTATACATTGTTTGCTATAGGAGGGGATTGTGGGCATAAACTGCAGAGATGTATCAGAAGAGAACAGCCTGTGCGGTCCATCGCTAAGTTTGAATAGCGTCTAGAAACAAGAAAATACGAACTGGGGCATTGTGCCATTTTGTGTAAGTCAGATATGTACCGATCCCCTTCTCTTCTATTTGGTGACCTTGGGTCCTATTAAGCCTCATTTGCCTCCCTTGAAACACCAAGTGTAGGCGTGCCTCTGGTGCACAGCTGGAAGACGGTAGGCGTGCCTCTGGTGCACAGCTGGAAGAAGGTAGGCGTGCCTCTGGCGCACAGCTGGAAGATGGTAGGCGTGCCTCTGGCGCACAGCTGGAAGATGGTAGGCGTGCCTCTGGCGCACAGCTGGAAGATGGTAGGCGTGCCTCTGGCTCACAACCGGAAGACGGCTTGGAAAGTAAGCTGATAACTAGCTGATGTTTCTTCATCTTGTGAACTACCCAGCTGATGAGCCTCATTCTGCATCAAATTTCCACTGCCAGTGGCAACATCTCATCTCTGCTTTACGTCACCTTCCTTAGAACCTTTCTGTGGTCACAGTTAAGAGGTGAGAGGCAGAACTGGACATTTCTGGGCTTTTTTTTTTTCTCTGCAGTATATACATAATGACCTTCAGGTAGGGCCTTCAACTCTGTGGGCCAATGTTGGGTGAGTGATGATATGGTCATGAACTTTCTGGTATCTTTCCAAACCTCTAGGTGAGGCTGATCTTTGCGCCACAACTCTACGTGGATCCCTCACATGCCGAAGTATCTTCAGAATCCTGAGAAAATCAGAGGCAGACCAAGAGTAGAAGCCGCAAAGAACATGCCTACTGACATGAATTTCTGCCAGATGCCCCAGCGGTTAGGAGCAGAAGAGCAGAATGGATTGTGTGAGGTGAGGAGAGATGCCCCAGGTTCCACTCTTCACAGCTAGATTGCGGAAGTTGGAAGCAGCAGGTTGGATTCCTGTTCCAGAGACTGAACCTCGGAGGATGAAGCCTCAGCGTTCCTTCATCTTGTCATTGGCATGCTCACTGGGCTGCTTCTTAGAGTTAGGTTTATCTGCCCATCTGTGACTCCCTGGTGGGTCTATTTCTGTTCAACACAGAGGATTGACAAGACAAAGAAGTAGGTAGATCCAAGTCTAGCTTAGCTTGGTAAACCAGAGTTTTTGTATTTATTAATTATGGTGGCGGTATTAAGTGCAGCCTTCAGAGGCTCGGGGCACTTAGACAGCCGCACCACCACGCCTGTCACCTCCTTCCCACTGTCTGCCCAGCTTAGACGTTTATATAACATGAGGAGTGGTCTCTTGAACCTCCCTTCCTCCAGGAGGGAATGTTTCGATGCCAAGCTAACACCTAGTAGCACAGTCTTCACCCCACATGTGTTCAGATCGCTGAGCCTTTGACTTTTCTCTCCCACTTCATAGCTACACATTGGCTTCTCAAAGCTCAGTACCTTAATTTTTTTAAATTATATTATTTTGTGTGTATGAATGTTTTGCCTGCTTATATATCTGTGTTCCATGTGCGTACAATAAGTACCCATGGTGGCCAAAAGAGGGCACCGGATCCTAGAACTGGAGCTATAGACCGTTGTGAGCTACCATGTGGGTGCTGGGAACTGAACCCGGATCTCTGGAAGCCAGCACTCTTATCTGCCGAGCCCTTTCTTTAGCCTAAACCTGAGCAGTTTAAAATAGTAATTCAGATATGTTGAGCTAAGGTAAGTATGCTATCAGGCTGATTCCATCTGTGTGTAGTTAACATGGCTACTGGAAATTCTGAGATGACTTGTGGCTGCTGCATTGGAGATTTCGGTCTGGAAAAGGTTCAGACTCCAATTTTATTTTATTCTTATAAGAACATTTCACAGTGGTAACATGCCTGCACTATTGTATCCTGCCAGGTTCACATGCTGGTCACCTCTCTCCTGTGACGCTAAAGTCACTGGGTTCAGGGGTCATCAGCCCCAAATCCTACCCTGTAGCTCTGCAGTGCTTCTCTGTGTGGCGTAGCAGCCGTGGCCGAGGAGGAGGAGTGGTGCAGCAGTGCCCGCCCTTCTGGCTGCTTCTGCGTCTTCAGGGCTGCTGAAGGCAGACCCTCCCAGCACCACATCCGAATGGCACAGATTGGGTGCGATAGGAAGACCAGCCTGTTAAATGTGAAGATCTTTATTCCCTGCGGTTAATTATTTAAGTGACAGTCCATGATTCTAAATTGAAAAGCCCAAACCCTTTTCACCCACCTCTGGCCCACCCCAGAGTACCTCCCTGTGTGTCTCTGGTGACAGCCAGTTTTCAGACACTGTGGATGTTACTGTCTCCTCCCTGAAGCCGTGGCTTTTGCTACCACTCCACTTTTGTTCTAGTCCTCTTCTAGAATAAGTGCTGTCCACATTCAGTTCATACTTCTCACTTCCAGTTCACGTTGCTGTACTCTGATTGGCACGACAGCCGTTTCCAGCTATGTGCCGAATTTGCCCATTTGCCCTTTCCAACAGTTTGTGTTGGGAGCTGCAGACCCTCAGAGCCTGAACTCTGTGTGACCTCTTGCCTGCTGGAGTAAGCGGCGTGTTTCTCTATGCTGGAGTAAGCGGCGTGTTTCTCTGTGCTGGAGTAAGAAGCGTGTTTCTCTATGCTGGAGTGAGCAGCGTGTTTCTCTATGCTGAAGTGAGCAGCGTGTTTCTCTGTGCTGGAGTAAGCAGCGTGTTTCTCTATGCTTACCGCTGCTCTGAGCACAGAACCCTCATGAGTTCCTGATAACAAGGACTTGCAGGGGGAAATCCCCAGAGCCAGGGCTTGGCCACTGGTCAAGGAGAGCACTATATAAGCTGTCGGGGAACATAATAAAATTGGTGTTCTTGCTTCAAGCGTGACCCATGTCTCTGTGTGTTCTTTAATCCCCAGACCCTTGCCCAACCATGGTTCCAGGTGGTGCAGGCACCACAAGTTGGCTTTGTATATATTTCTAAAAGTGTTCCTTAATAGCCCTATACTTGGGTCTTTATGATTGCAGTTTTGCAAGTCTGAATTTCTCTGAGAGTACAAACTCATACACAGTGTTAAATCCCGGGACCCAAGACAGCTATAGACAGGTGCAGGTCCAGTGTGGCTTAATAACTGTCGTGCTGTTTAATCTCTGATAGAGAATGAAAAAGAATCCATTTCTGGCCTCCTGGACAGGGATGATACTATCTAATTTGTGGAACACTTAAAGTTTAACCTGGAGGGAAGGGGTCACTGCAAACACATGTCCTATTTGTCAGTGATAATTCACAGTGAGTATGTTATTACAGAGATTGGTGTCCTTAGAGGATGTGACTGTGGACTTCAGCCGGGAGGAGTGGCAGCACCTGGACTCTGCCCAGCGACGCCTGTACCAGGATGTGATGCTGGAGATCTACAGCCACCTCTTGGCAGTGGGTGAGCACAGCTGGCCTGGGGATCCAGGGTGGGCCTACTTTCCTTATTTCTCTTTTCCAAACATGGTGGGGTATCAAGCCTTTTATGAATTTTTTCCCTTTTATCTTGATAAAATATTCTTTTTGGATATTTCCATGTGTTGTTTTGTGCTGCCAGTAGTGAGTTTGATTCATGGAGCCTGCATGGCAAAAGACAAGGCCGACACCCCAAGTTGTCCTTTGAATTCCACATACATGCCATGGTATGTGCGGCACATGCAAGTGCACACACATAGACACACACACACACACACAGTGTAAATGTGGGTGTGGGTATAGATTAAGATTTTATGGGCATGGGTATTTCACCTTCCTATCTGTCTGTGCACCGTGTGTTGTGCGGTGCCTGTGGAAGCCAGAAGGTGTCAGACCCCTTGGAACTGTAGTTGTAATTTAGTTGCCATGTGGGTGCTGGGAACCAAATCTGGGTCATCAACAAGTGTTCTTAACCACTGAGCCATCTGTCCAGCCCTGCCTCCTCTGTGCTACATGTATGTGTGTAATTTAAAAAAAAAAAAAAGAATAGCAATTTGAAGGTGTAGGTTTATTGCTCAGGGTGGAATGCTTGTGTTTCGCGTGGGTGAGGCTCGGCTTTAATCCTCACTACCATAATAAAGAAAAAGAAGCCTAACCAAAAAACCAGATGAGAAAAAGGACAAAGGACATGAATATGCATTTCTCCAGAGCTAATGAAGTCTTCCTGGCAGTCTGTTCTTTAGGTCTTAGCTGTTTGCCAACAATGCCTTGTCAAAGTCCTTCCTATTTACGACATCTGTATGGATAGGGCTCTCATTTGGTGAGCTGGTTATCTTTGCCCAAACCAAATCTTCTTCCCACAAATCAGCTAAGTGATTTTGGCCACTTACTATAGCTCCCAGTTTCTTACTTATAAAACAAGGAGAGTAGTTGTGGCTATTTTGGGGATTGAGTTCATGTGTCCAGTGCATACAAAGTTGCCTAGTACACATAGGTGCTGTATTCATGAAGTTTGGTATGTAATAAGGGATATCATGATGTTTCTTGCCATGGCCATCCACGTGATGAGCGTGAGTACTACCTGACTCAGATTTCTCAGGTTCAGATTCAGTTCCATGTGATTGCTCCTCCTTCCCGTTCACTGTACCTGCTCCTTCATCGCTTTCTCTTCTCTACAGGTGAATTGCAGCTTGACACACCACATCACCCAGTTTTTGTGAAAGCTTCATTTCTAAATGATGCATCCAGTGAGGTCACAGGACATGGTTCCTATTGTACCATTTTAGAGAGACTGTGGCAGGATGGCAACAGTGCCACCCAGACACATCAGCAAAGCCAGGTCCCACCCATAAGCCCTAGTGCTTCCCGAAACCAGAAGCCACCGAATACAGACAGTGGTGGTGACTCCGAAGAAAGTGGAGAATCTATTCTCTCGGGACGCCACCTCATCTCTACAAAATGTGTACCTCCAAGATGTTTCTCATTTGCAAAAAGGTTGAAACCTAACCTTGAAGCATATAATGACAATCAAAGCAATGTCACAAAGCAGGTTAGTGACATTATGGGACCTCATCAGTTTTTAACACAAGGCTCTTCTAACAGTGTGTGTGCAACACCTCTTCAGGGAGAGAAATCATACAATGAAAGTCAGCTTGGAAACATTCTTTCTCCCAATCCACCACTTACAGAGCATGGAATTCCTTTTCAAGACAAAGCAGTTGAATATACTGGATGCGGGAAAGTCCTCACTGATGAGTTAGCTTTCTGTCAACAGCAAATAACGAACAACATGGAGACATCTTTTATCTGTCACACATGTGGGAAAACCTTTCTCCACAAGTCTCAATTGGTCTCCCATCCAGAACCTCATAGAGAAGAGACACCTTATGAGTGTCCTGACTGCGCAAAATCCCTACGGGGTATGTCCAGCCTGCACGTGCACCGTGAAATCCACACAAAGGAGAAACGGTATGAATGCCATGTGTGTGGGAAATCGTTCAGTTATACATCCCACCTAAAGGTGCACCTTCGAACACACACTGGTGAAAAACCTTATGCATGTTCTGAGTGTGGGAAAGCCTTCAGCCAAAAGTCAGTCCTCACCATACATCAGAGAATTCACACTGGGGAGAAGCCTTACACGTGCAGTGACTGTGGGAAAATGTTTGTTTGTGCATCAGACCTGACAAAGCATTGTCGGTTTCACACAGGGGAGAAGCCTTATGAATGCCCCGACTGTGGGAAGTCTTTTAGTATTAAATCTAACCTGCTTGCCCATCATCGAATCCACACCAGCGAGGGGCCTTACAAATGCTTTGACTGTGGGGAATCATTCAGGAAAATATCCCAATTGAAGGTACATCATCAAATTCACACCGATGGTAGGTCCTTTGTGTGTTCTGACTGTGGAATGGCCTTCAGCCAAAAGTCGGTTCTCGTCACACATCAGAGAATTCACACTGGGGAAAAATGTTACCCGTGTAGTGACTGTGGAAAGTTGTTTCTTTATGCTTCAGATCTGAAGAAGCATTGTCGAATTCACACAGGGGAGAAGCCTTACAAATGCCATGACTGTGGGAAATCGTACAGTGTGAAATCACACCTCCATGTGCACCATCGAATTCACACCGGTGAGAGACCTTACAAATGTGAAGACTGTGGGAAGTCCTTCAGAAGAAACTCTCACCTGCAAATGCACCAGCAAACTCACACTGGTGAGAAGCCCTACAAGTGCTCTGACTGTGGGAAGTCATTCCGGAGAGCATCCCACCTGAAGGTACATCATCGAATTCACACTGGGGAGAAACCTTATGTGTGTTCTGAGTGTGGGAAGGCCTTCAATGATAGGTCAGTTCTCAGCACACATCAGAGAATTCACACTGGAGAAAAGCCTTACATATGCAGCGACTGTGGGAAAGCCATGTCTTCTAAAGCCAATCTCAAGGAGCATCAGCGAATTCACACAGGCGAGAAGCCATATGTGTGTGCTCAATGTGGGCGGGCCTTCAGTGATAAGTCTTCTTTCTATAGACATTGTAAAATTCACAGTAAGGATAGACCTTTTGTCCATAACAAAGGTGAAAAGGGCTTCCTGCAGAATTCACAAGTGCCCACCTATGAGCAAACTCACAGTGCAGACAAGCTGTAGTGACGCTGTCATGGGAACTGTCGCTGTTATGTGTCAGCTGACGTGTATCGCCGCGGTCATACATGCCATCACTGACACTGTGGGCTGCTGGTGGTGCACTGTCCACACCATACTGGGAAGAGACACTATTTGTGTTGTGAATGCAGAGAGTCCTTCAAAATCATGTCATTTCAGTAGACTCAAGTGCTTATACCAGACAGTCTTCCTCAAGACACCTGATCATATAAAAGAATTTATTGTAGAGTCAGTTCCTCATCCATAGCCCTCATCAAAGTATTCTTGGTTTTCATGAAAAAATATTTTATCACAGACCTAAGTAGGACTAGGGAGATATCACACTCAGTTGGTAAATTCTTTGCCTTCTGGATACCAGAGGCACACGCATACACAGATACATGCCATGGGTAACTACACACAATACATACACAAACCTAACTATACAAGCCATAGGTCATAGTTTAAAAAGAGTACATTTTTACTCTTTTTAAATTAAATATGCATTGCTTGTTTAAACATATAAATAATTATATGTGAGAGGAATATTAATGAACTTGTAGGAAGAAGCACAAATGTTTCCTTGCATGAAGAAATGCTGATTAATGATTTGAGGTAAACTTTCTATAGTTGATGGTACAAAGTTTCTAGACTACAGGAAGGTTTGTTGGAAATTACATCAATGGTTTCTCTGTTTATTGTGGGATACCTTTTTTTTTTTTCCGAGACAGGGTCTCACTATATACTTCAGGCTGTCCTAGAACTCACTATACAGACTAACTCACAGAGATCCGCCTACCTCTGCCACACATGTACTGGGATTAAAAGTGTGCACCACTACGCCTGGATGGATACTAATATTTTTAAATGTCAAAAACATTTTTCATCTCTGTCTAGGACTTGTCCATAGCATTATGGCCGGCAGACAAAATGACCACTTTTGATTTCCAAGGTCTTTCAATGGATTCTCACAACCATGTCCAGTCTCAGGGACCTGGAGACCATCACCTTCAGGGTGCTATTTGAGAGAGATCCAAGACCTCAGAATGTTCCTGAACCCATGTTAGTGCCTCCCCAGTGCTGGTGTGAGTAATGCTCCTCCATAATTTATATCCTTCCACCCCTCGGGTGTGGCCTTGTGGATATGGCTTCTTTGTAGAAGTAACTTAGGTGCAGACATACTTAGCCAGACTTGGTCCTAAATCTGATGAGTATCATTCTTTGAGAAAGTCACGAAGACTCAAAATTTTGAAAGATGGGACTATACAGATAGGGGTTTTGGTGATATCTCCAAGCCACGGAATGTCAGCAACAAGCTAGAAAAACTTTCTTGGGAGTTTCTAAAATTAGCCATCCCTTGGCCAGTACCTTGATTTCCAAATTCAGGTCTCAAACATGGTGAGAAAATCAGTTCCTGTTGTTTTGCCAACTATTCTAAAACAATCTAAGAAAATCAAAGTTGTGTAGAGGGCTCTGAGAGGCCCACGTATACTCAAGGCCTGCCTTCCTGCCTGCCTGTCCTCCAAATACATTTGTCTGTCTGCCTGTCTGTCTTTCAAGACAGGGTTTCTCTGTAATGGCCCTAGCTGTCCTAGAACTCACTCTGTAGACTAGTCCAACCTTGAACTCACAGAGATCCGCCTGTCTCTGCCTCCCAAATGCTGGGATTAAAGGTGTGCATCATCGCCACCCAGTTTTTTCTTAGTCATTTTTTTCTCATTTACTGGTCCTGAATTTCCTGTGCTCTTTGTCCTCTCTCTAGTTCCCATGTTTTTAACTCCTTTCAATAAGCTTATCCCATGTTACTGTCTTCCTATGGAACTCTTAAGCTGCCAGATGTCTATTCTTTATGGTTATCAAACCACGTATGTCCCTCATTTTTATCTCATCGAGGCCCTCTAGACATGAATATTTCCTATTATGTTAAACCGTGTGTTTCTTGTTTGTTTATTTCAGCTTTGTCTGTTTCTTTAAGACTGGACCTCATGGAATCTAGCCTAGAATCTGATTTACTGTATAGCAAAGGGTGGCCATGAAATCTTGAGTCTTCTGCTTCCCCCTCCCAAGTACTGGGATTACAGGTGTGAGCTATTTCCTTGGCCAGATAGTATATTTACAAAAGACTTTCGATATATTGTCTCTCACGCAACATGTACACAATGTAAATCTGACTACCCTGTTGAAAGGTGAGTCTATGTCCCTACTATCTCCAAGTTCAATAGAATTTTATCCTAGTTTCAGTGGGTAAAAATAATAACAGAAGTAACAAGGTGCTTGAGGCCACACTAAAAGCACTAGAGCATCAACATTGCTTATCTGAATGCTTGTTCTTGAAGTCTTCCTCTGCCATTTAGTAATTCAAGTCATGTTGAGGCCGATATATTATGAGAAAAACCAATTGAGTCAATGTAGAGAGGCCCAGAGATTAACATTAAAGATAGGAAGATTGATCCAGAACATCATTCCTATGGTTGGGATTCTAGGGGAGCCTTATCAGCTGTATGGAAAACTAATACCATACCACAGTCACTAAGATGATCCTAAGTCTCTTACTTAACATAAACCTTGAAAGGTAACACCTTGATTTGTTGTGTTTTAGCAACAAGTAGCCAGAATATTCTCCCTCGTCTGCACCAACCATGCCTATTCCTCTGTGTGTGTTCCTCGTGGATTCTGCCAAGTCTCTAACTCTAAGGGGTGGTTAGAGGTGGAAAAGACACACTAGTTTAGTGCCTTAGGGTGACGTGATGGGGCAGTTGGGCAACTCCTCCTCACTAACGCCCACGGGTTAGGTCTAGCTAAGACTGGGTTAGGCATTCCAGAGGAATTCCTGCCCAGCAATGCCAGTGCTCATCGTTGGCCTGCCTTTTCTTAGGAGGTGTATAAAGGAAGTAAAGTCTCGATGATACTTCTGTTAGAAGAATGCTTAGGGAAGTACCATGTACACCCAGAAATGACGGAGGATACCTGTGCTGCTACATCCTGGAAAGTGTCCCAGAAGTTCATCCTTCCTGTTGCATATATCACCCTGTGAAAGACTTGCACCCAGTCCTGTCTTACTGGTCTTGAAGACATCACAGAGACGAGGCCAGAGTGCAACACTGTAAACTGCCTATTCGTATATGTCCAGCATGTTTTCTACCCTGGCCCTCTCCAGACCCTCAGTAATTACCTTTCCTAGTAAACAACTCAACATGAATTCTGATGTGTAAAGCAGGAATTATGACTATCAGCCATGCTGGGTCATAGTAGAACATTCATTATGCATACGCTAGGCTGTGACACCAGTTCAGCATTGTTTTATTACTGAGTCTGGTTCTTAAGTCTCCATGAAAGCATTCCATGACACTTGTGCTGGATCTGAATGCCCACTCATCCCACCTCCAGTGGTGGTCCCATCACTCAGCCCCCCATGCACACTACCATCTATAATGGATGTGTCTGTCTACAACCTATCAGAATAAACACTTGCTGAGGGAGGGCTGAGGACTCACTTGTATCTCTAAGAACCCAGGACCCAGCTTCGATTTCTCCAAACCAGCTCTTCATCTTAGAGCAGCATTCAATGTGGAAGACGAGACGGAGCTCAGGAAGCAGACCTCGATGGCCATGGTTTCATCTGCTTTCAATGTGGAAGATAAAACAGTTCAAGAAGCAGATTTTGATAGCGAGCATCATTCAATGTGGAAGACGAGACGGAGCTCAGGAAGCAGACCTCGATGGCCATGGTTTCATCTGCTTTCAATGTGGAAGATAAAACACTTCAAGAAGCAGATCTTGATAGCCACCACAATTAGATATGGATGAGGCTGATCAACTGCTAACTGTAACCTGAATCCTTTCTCTTAACATCAGAATTTGGAGATATAGATATATCTCCAGAGAGAGAGAGAGAGTTCTCCAGACCTTCCTTTATCTGACTAGCTCAAATGTCACCCAACCTCAAGTCCAACTACTAAACAGTTACAGAAAAAGGAATTCTCACATTTTATGCTTAACACTCGCATCTCATGGTTAATCCTCAGTATAAAAAGCAAAACAACAAAACCAAAGTGTTTGTACTGCATTCAGTAGGCAGAGTCATGCCTCTTTAATATCCATCAAGGACTGTTGACACATCATGAACAACATGGCCATGATTCTCAGAATGACACATGATCCAGTTATGTCTTGCATTTAGAAACTGATCGAAAAGATACACAAACATAATATAAATACAAGATAATTGAGTGCACACTTATTTTAGGAGAAACCAGTTGTAACTGCCTATTAGTAGAAGATTGCCACACACTTGGGGCCCATTAATACACTGGGTTTCTTGGTCATGGGAATCAGGGACAATCTGTGCTACTAACATCCAGCCTCACCTTTGACTCTCCAGTGGACAAACCCAGAATCTAGATAAGTTGTACAGTAATGGTCACTTTGGGAGAGAACTGAGTTAAACACTAAGTTTTCTGAATGCTGCCCGTGTGATTCTGTCTCCCAGAACAGTCATTTAAGCTATTGAGAATAAAGATCTGAGATGGGCTGACTCAGATGCATCAGAGTGGCCTGAAACTTGCAGTTCTTATGTGTGTGCCTGTGGTGGCAGGCATCCAGGGGGTGACACGCAGTTGCAGACAAATGACTGGCAGCTCACATGTCTACAGATGGTGACATTAGTTATGAACCAAGGTTACTCTGTCTCCAAGGTTAATGAAGGGTGAAAAGTGGCCATCTGGACTGAGGTGAAAAGGCCTTGCTCCTTAGTTCAGGAGGACTCCCTTCTACCTTGCCCTGCTCCTCTTGAGATATATTTGGGGATTCTATATGGTATCTTGGAGAATAGAGAATTCCCATCGTTAGGAAAAGATGAGAAGGAAGTGTACACTACCCCTCCACACACAAACGCAGAGGGACAGGACATGGACCCTCTTCTGTCCCCTTAGCTGCACCTCCAGGAAATAGACACCTTCAGTTCGCAGCACTGGTTCCCCTTTCTCTCACAACCTCGGGTACTTAGTGTCATGACATCACACAAGAGTCTCTGATGATTCTGTCTGTGGTTACACTGGTCCCAGGAGAGGTCACTAGGCAGGTAATCTGGTGTCATGGTTCTAATATGTGGTGAACATCATCACTAAGAGCTGGGTGGTTTTTAGGGCCCAGGTAAGGTAGCTGCCATCCAGAATGTTAGGTTGTCCCTGGTTCACAGAGCCAGCACAAGAGAGGTTGGGATACTGGCATGGCTGGGCTCTTAGCTTCTCCAGAATGTGGATGTCAGGTTCTGTGTCCATCCAAGAAAGAGAGACAA